GCCACTCAAAATAAAGCTGTTATTAGTGTACACGTGATAATGCATTTGAACACTAATCTGTTGCAGCTTTGTTATCAGCATTTCCATCGGATGGAAATAAACCGACGTGGGCATAGGGTTTCACTCTCAGCACAGGAAAGCTTTGCTCGTTTTTATCTACAGTTGGTGGGAAAAGTGCTGGTGCCAAGCAGCGTTTCTGAACACAAGGAAACCCATTTCCTATCTATTCATTTCACTCTTCCCTGTTATTTTACCATTCCCACCCTGACCTGCACAGAAGTCTTGTCGGGAAGAGAGATACGGCAGGAATGCGGAGGGCATGTTTTAGGAGGATGGTTGGAGACAGCCGTGTGTTTGCGGTGTGCCGTGTTCAGCTCTCCTCCCGTTGGGCTTTTGGGACTTGAATTACGACGCTGACATCAGAGGTCACACACAATGAGGGGTTTTTCCCTGGTAAGGCTGTACCTGTGTTCGCTCTGCGTGTTCAGCTTTGATAGATATTTCGCCATCGGGTACCTTCAGTGTGGGAACATGCATACATCAACTGTGAGCGCTGATCTCTTCCAGTCAGGATCCACAGTGAAAACTATTTATAGAAGAACGTCCTTAATAAACCTTGAATTCACCATATATCATGTAATATTTCAAACAGTTAAGTTGACTTTATGCCTGTAGAGTATGTTATTGCTCAAATGTTGCTCTTTTCTGGCTTATTGAGTTTTCAGTTACTTCCATTAACCTGTTATCTACATTATTTAATGTATGTTTGAATAAATCTGTGAAAACCAAAGTTAAAAAAAAAATTATACATCCCCAGAAAGTTGGGGCGTTTTGTAAAATGCAATCAAATCAAGAATATGTTATCTTAAAAAAAAAAGGACACTGAAAGGAATAATTGGCTATTTTTTCTCCCTGCCTTTTTGCTGTCACTTTACTCGTTTTGACCTGCTCTATTTGCAATTTGTTTATGCCAAAATCCTCTGTTTTTTTACATTCTTTATCCTTACCACCTTTTGATTTGCCATTTAGTTTTGCTACTTTTTCCCGGTTTTTTGTTACTCTGATGGTGTTTGCTCTTTGAGCATTGATGAGATTACGCTTTGTGATGTTTACTCTTTGCTCAAGAGGAAGGTGGATAGGGAAGATGTCACGTGACTTCCATTGTGCAACACTTAGGTAACTCGATGTATAGACACCCCAGGTAAGAGGTGAACCCCACCCCCTGTATATTTGCTTTCGTTAGTTGAGAGTGGGGAAGTATACCCCAAGATCTTGTTTTCTTTTCTTTCTTTTCTTTTAGTTAGGGTAAAGGTTTAAAAGAATAAGATTTTTTTTTCTTTGGCATCCCCTTTCTCTTGGGTTGGTGTGTTTAGTTGTTTTGTTTTTGTTCCTTTGAATTGTAAAAATTTGTACATATTGCTTTTTCATTGATTTATATTTTTGTAATTTTATTGTTTTTCACTCCTTTGTACATTAAATCGCCCTTCTTTGGCAGTTTGTTGTCCTTGTATTGTCTCTTGCCTCCACCATTATTTCAGTTTTGCCACAGTCTCAATGTTGCTCCTTTAAACCCTAGACAATTTTAAAAGGTCGTAACAATATCTCTGTACAATCCCAATATATCCCTCCATGTCAATGGTACCTTCGCACATATGCCAGTCACCCATGCTGTTTGCTCTTCTGCATCCCCATACCATGACCGACGTTTGCTTTTGCTTCTGTCGCTAATGAAAATCTGGATGGTCCCTTTGGTCTTTGGGACTGAGAACTCGAAATCCATTTTTCCCGGAAACAAGTTGAAATGTGGACTCATCTGAGCACAGCACACTTTTCCACTGTCTTTTCGACTATCTGAGATGAGCTCTGGCCCAGATAACCCAGCGGCATCACTGCATGGAATTGATGTATAGCGTTCTCCTTGAGTAACAGAGATTCAAGTTGCATTTCTTGATGCAGCAGCAGACTGTGGTAAATGACAGTGGTTTTCTGAAGTACTCCTGAGCCCATGTGACTATATTTAAAGGGTTAGTTCACTCAAAAATGAAAATTAGGCTGCGCTTTACTCACCCCCGAGGCATCCTAGGTGTATATGACTTTCTTCTTTCAGACGAATCCAGTCGGAGTTATATTAAAAATTCTCTTTGATCTTTCAAGCTGTTTAATGCCACTCAGCGGGTGTTGCATGCATCAGTCCAAAAGAACTTAAATAAAAATCGCCAATCCATAAAAAAAAGTGTCTCACACGGCTCCGGGGGGTGAACGAAGGCCTTCTGTAGCGAATCGATGGATTTTGTAAGAAAAATATCCATATTCAAAATGTAATAATCACTTGAGTCTAGCTTGCGCTCACTGTTGTAAACAGAAGCAGCTCCGGGAGCATGACGTATGAGGTCGGCTCACTTAATTTTGTATTTATTTAATACTTGGTTTTATGATTCTTGATTGTATGAATGTATTAGGTCCTGGGATGTAAAGCACTTTTACCAACATGTTGTTTTTAAATGTGCTATATAAATAAATGTGATTGACTGATTGATTTAAAAAAAAAATATTTTAATAAAAGCAAACCCAAATGAGTCAATAGTTGTCATACAGTGTGGTTATGTAGCTATAAAGTGAATGTGGATCAGCTTAGAGCATTTGATGAGAAATGTTTGAGATCATATTGAGGTCTTTCATATTCAGACTTTTGGATCTGGAGGCATTTTTGAGATTGCTGGGGTCTTTTTCCTAGGAGAAACCTCTCCACTTGCTCTCCATTTAATTGGATTGCTGTCTAGGTTTTTTTTAAAAGATCTCGTGTGTGATTTCTCAGTCCTGTGGGTTTGCTGCTGTATATAGTGTTTCAGATGAGAAGTTCATTGTGTTTCACCCTGCAGCGTGTAACAGGAGAGATCATGACATACGTCCCTTTGTGTGTTTTATGTGTGTGTGTTCTTACAGCAAACACACACACACACACACTCTCCCAGCGGGCAGAAGCTCCTGCAGGTTTCCTCTCACTCTTCGTGTGTCATATGAGCTGACGTGTGTCATACGTCTGAGCTGCAGTTGCACAACTATCCGCAGAGATGTCACATAAACCCTGAAGATTTATGAGTATAGTAAAGCTTTTATTGGTGGTAACGTACTTGTTGCATGAATTTATTAGAACAGGGATGCTCATGCCGCACCGGTTTAGTTTAAAAGCCATACGCTACCATTCAAACATTTGTGGTTGGAAGGATTTTTTCTTTCATTTTATTTATTTATTTATTTTTAAGTCTCTTCTGCTCAACAAGGCTGCAGTTATTTGATTGAAAATATGCCAAAAGCAGTGAAATATTGTAATAATTTAAAATAGCTGTTCTCTATGTGAATATATTGTAAAATGTAATGTATTTCTGTGATGCGCAGCTGTATTTTCAGCATCATTACTGCAGTCTTCAGTGTCACATGATCTTCAGAAATCAGTATAATATGCTGATCTGCTGCTTGCAAAGGCATACATATGTTGATGTGCACTACCATTCAAAATTTGAGGTCACTATGAGTTTATATTCTGCAACATTGCATTAATTTGGTCAAAAGTGACAGTAAAGCATTTACAAAAGATTTATATTTCAAATAAATGCTGTTCTTTTGAAGTTTTTGTTCATCGAAGAATCCTGAAAAATAAAACGTATCACAGTTTGCACAAAAATATTCAGCTGCAGCAACTGTTTTCAACATTGATAATAATCAGAAATGTTTCTTAAATCAGCATATTAGAATGATTTCTGAAGATCATGTGACACTGAAGACTGGAGTAATGATGCTGAAAATTCAGCTGTGATCACAGAAATAAATTACATTTGAACATTTATTCACATAGAAAACGACTATTTTAAATTGTAATAATATTTCACATTATTACTGTTTTCACTGTATGTTTCATCAATTTAAAGCAGAAGAGACTTCTCTCAACAACATTAAAAAATCATGGCAACCCAAAAAGGTTACCTTTTTGAACTGCAGTGATATGCTCGGCTCTAATTGTAACAAAGCGTTTACTTAAAAAGTTTAGTATCTTCATGCATTTTTCCTTTTATGTATTTAATGAAAGTTAAGCCTATAATTCATTCTCAGGGTGTGACGGACTTTGGTGTCAGCTCACATCACAGCTGTGTTTGTGAGTGATAATCTCTTATGTCAGATAAAGGTCACCTCAGCGTGTCTGGACAGAAATATCAAACAACTGTAGGAGATGTAGAATAATATAAAAAAAAGAGGAAAGGATCGTCAGACAGATTAGTCATCGTGTTTCCTTTATCTGACCTCTTTTTACTTGTATTTACCTAGTCATTCTCGGCTTTATTGGCATTAGCGGTTTGTTTTCATGCTGTAACTAGTGTGTGCACGGGTCATTTATCATAGGTGCGGTTTGTGGTTGAAAGTAAACCGTCAAGCACTGTATTAAATCAGAACAAAGCCACAAACCCTCCTCTCACTTTCGGGAGAGATGCAATATAGTCAAGCTTGTGGTTGTAACTTTAAAGCAATAGTTCACCCAAAAATGAAAATTTCCTCACCCTTAGGCCATCCAAGATGTAGATGAGTTTGTTTCTTCAACAGATTTGAAGAAATGTTCACCAATTGATCCTGAATGGGTGCCGTCAGAATGAGAGTCCAAACAGCTGATAAAAACATCACAATAATCCACACCACTCCAGTCTTCTCCAGATGTTAACTGATGGACTGGAGTGGTGAGGCTTGTGGATTATTGTGATGTTTTTATCAGCTGTTTGGACTCTCATTCTGACGGCACCCATTCACTGCAGAGCATCCATTGCTGAGACACTGATGCAATGCTACATTTATCCAAATCTGAGGAAGAAACAAACTCATCTACATTTTTAATGGCCAGAGTATAGGTACATTTTCATGAAAGTTGCACTATCTCTTTAATTAATGTTGTTTGCAGTCTGAAAACAGTATATTCACGATGAGATTTCTAATGCACGTTTCACGTTTCTCCACAGAAATCAACCAAAGGCTCTGTAGTGCTGGATTATGTGTTCAGTCACGTGAACCTTGCCGAAACAGAGTATTTTGGGCTTCGCTATTGCGACTGCAGTCATCAAACGGTGAGTTCTTGAAGATTTTATCCCATGTCAGCTCTTAAAGTTCACCCCAAAAATGAAGATTCTGGCATCATTTACTCACCCTTGTATGATGCAACATAAAGTTTTAGTTTTAGTATAACATTATAACACCATTCATATTTTTACTTTTTTTATAAATTAAAGAAGAAACTAATCCGATGTATATTTGACATTTGAGGCTCAATACTATAGAAAAGCACTAAAGGTTTTTCAGTTAGAGTGTTTTCAGCTGGTTTATTTTCATATAAAAATACGGCATGCAGTTGGATTAAACAATGGTATAAACATCATTCAATGTAAATTGGGATAATCGTAATTAATAATCGCAATTACAATTTCAAGGGAATAATCAACAATTATGATTTTTGTCATAATCGTGCAGCCCTAATTCCAAACATGAATAACTTTCTTTTTTCTGTTGAACACATTTTTTGAAGAACGTTGGTAACTGAATAGTTTTGGTTCCCATTCACTTTCTCCATTGTACTTTCTGTCCAAATAATCTAAGCCAATGGGTACCAAATCTGTTGAGTTTCCAACATTCATCAAAATATCTTTTTGTCCAGAGAAAAAAGAAAGTCAAACAGGTTTGGAATGACATGAGGCCGAGTTCATTTTTGGGTGAACTATTCCTTTAAGAGAGTTTGCGAAGGCATTAACTGGTCATAATGTCCTAAGGCTCACGTCTGAGGTAAAGGTGGTTAGGTTTACCCAGGGACCAAATTTTGGGTAAGGCAAAGTGCAGCATTGTGAAAGAACATAACAGTCATTACCTCATCAGCTCGACCAAAGACAGAGGTGTTTCCCACAATGCCTTGCGGGCCCTGTCCCACGAGGCTGGATTTATTGCTAAGCATGCAATGGGCGAGAGGCACGCCACAACTTACATTTACACAAATCTGTCAGCTCTATGAACGGTTATTACGGTAAAAAGAGACAGGAGATAAAAATTGGGTGTAATTTACAGAGTAGTGCGGTGGTTTCTGCTGTGTGGGTATGTTTTACACTCACTCTTGACTCATAGATGGTTCACCTAAGGCGCAGAGAATTCCTTCAGTGGAGACATTTTTAACACGCTGTTATACATTTAAAATAAAACACCTGTCTGCATCCATAGGAGGACAAACTGCTTTCTTGTTATGAACTAGTTATTTACATTTCTGGGCGAACTTTTAAGCTGCTTGTTTGTGCAAACACAACATGATTCTAGGGTCATCACAATGTTAGGGAGTTACTATACAGTTGCCAAGGTGTTATTTTAATGTTGTGTATTAGGCTTGCCGCGATAGACGGTGCTAACGGTTATACCGGTGTTAAGCCGCAACACCGGTTATGTCACTAGTCCACCGCATCACCGACCCCCACCGTCGTTTTGATTTCTTGTAGCAATAAAAATCATTTAGTTCAGTAAAAGAACAGACACTACAATTAAAAACTGAATGCGGCTGCTCAATGCAGTTGAACGAGAAGAGTGAGGCGAGACGGACGAGACGAGTGAGGCGAGACGGACGAGACGAGTGAGGCGAGACGGACGAGACGAGTGAGGCGAGACGGACGAGACGAGTGAGGCGAGACGGACGAGACGAGTGAGGCGAGACGGACGAGACGAGTGAGGCGAGACGGACGAGACGAGTGAGGCGAGACGGACGAGACGAGTGAGGCGAGACGGACGAGACGAGTGAGGCGAGACGGACGAGACGAGTGAGGCGAGACGGACGAGACGAGTGAGGCGAGACGGACGAGACGAGTGAGGCGAGACGGACGAGACGAGTGAGGCGAGACGGACGAGACGAGTGAGGCGAGACGGACGAGACGAGTGAGGCGAGACGGGCAAGAAGAGTAAGGCGAGACGGACAAGAAGACAAGAAGAGTGAGGCGAGACGGACGAGACGAGTGAGGCGAGACGGACGAGAAGAGTGAGGCGAGA